GGAGCCCCAGGGAAGTAATATGGGGAAAACCTGAGGGGAGGGACTGCTAAGGGGTCAGGCCACCGCTCCTTCTAGCCAGGCAGAGCCCGGAGTCAGAGCTGGCGCCAACCAACTGACCGACTGGAGCCTTGGCCTCCTCACCCCCGCCCACCGGGCAGCCAGCTTCCCCACCACGCTGACTCCTCCCCAACTAGCCACCCCCTCAGCCCAGCGCCATCCCCGCTCTCCTACCCCCAACCACAACAGTCGCATTTCCCTGCAGACCAGCCCAGTTCTCCCCTTCCTCTGCTCACCCAGGCTGCTCTTACAGGACTGCCTCCCAGGCACCCCCACCCCAATCCCGGCAGCCTCCAGAGTTGGTGTCCCCTCCCCTCCATAGACATTTCGTGGAGCAAAGGTCCCAGCACAGCCTGGAATTGCAACACGGAGCCCCAGCCTGCTTTCCCAGCCTCCCTCCTCCTCCCCTGCCTCTGGGAAGGGGCCAAGAAACTCTCCCCACCGGCCCAGCCTGAGCCAAGCTGGTAGAACTCCATGGGTGGAGAGGCAGGTGCTGGGCCTTCCTGTAAGTCTCTGAATGGGGGGCCCTGTGAGGGCTACCAGCAGGGGAGAGGCCAGAAGAGAGAGAGGGGAGCAATGGCCGGTGCCAGGGTGGGGGTAGAGAGATGGCAGGTGACCCAGGTGCTAGCCCATTATGGATCTGGGAAGGTATGCAAGTTCCCTCATCTGGGGAACAGTTCCATATGAAATGCTGACAGGCTCTGCCCAGCAGCTATTGAACCTTCCTGCCCTGTTGCCTGGAATATGAGATCCATTCCTGAATGTAGACACCATGTTTAATTGATCTTATCTCCCTTGTAGCCCATGGATCTGGGCCTGGCATAGTTTAGGCAACAGAGTAGGTACTGTATTCCTGTTCATTAAATGAATAAGCAAGCAAGAAAAAAATATATGACCCCCTTCTATTTTATACTTAACTCTAGTCAATTTCATTTCAGCATATTTAGTTTTTTGGCCTTAGGCTCAGAATTTGGGTTCAAATTCTGGCCTTGCCTTTTATTAGCTGTGTGATCTCGATTAAGCAAGTTACTTAATATCTCTGACCCTCTATTTCCCTATCTTTAAAATCGGGATAATAATAATGGTTTTTGCCACCTAAGGTTGTCATGAGAACTAAACAATATGTCATAGCACAATGTGTAGCCCATAGTGTGTTCAAGCGATGGCAGCAGTTATTATTAAATTTCCAGTCTTTCAGCTATGGGTACTTCCCAACACCGTGCATCTGTACATTGTTAACCTTCCAGTGCTTGTTTCCATACACAAACCCTGCACTCTCTCCTTTGGTCCTTAGAGCAGCCCCAGGAAGGAGGGTAAATAACACAAGCTCCATTTTACAAAGAATACTAAGCTCATGGGAGAGGCTTCTCGAAGACCACACACAGTGGCCAAGCTGAGATCAAAATCCAGATGTCCTCACTCCAGTCTCTGTACTCTTTTTCTCCTGCCTCAGAGTCCAGGAGAGTCTTGTTGCCTTTCAGGTCTGCTGGATCAGTGAAATGTCGAGACGGAAGAAGCTGGGAGGGAGGGGGAGAGGACGGCAGTAGAAGAGGCAGAGAGCTCTGGGGATGCTTCAGTCCAGCTGTGGCAGGGGAGGAGTTGAGGTTACTGCTGGCTGATCACCCCCTGCCCCACTCCCAGCTTCCTGCTCACAGGCTCTTCCTGTTTTGCTGTGAACTCCAGTTCCCATGGGCCCCCCATTAAAGCATAGGACAGGGGGCCAGGGCAGGCAGCCAGAGGGACAGAAACAGATGAACAGGGCACCAGGAGAGAGGACAGTGAACAGGGAGAGAGTGGATGGGGGCAGGGGGGAGAGCAGGCTTGGAGGACAGGGAAAACAGAAATAGAACAGGAGCTTGGTGAAAGATGGGAGGAAGCACACAGGGTGGGGCAGGGGGAATAGGTGGGGGGTGGGGAGCACAAGCTTGAGATGACGCGGGCTGGGTTGTGTTGCAAAATCTGCCCATGTGCTTATTTTCACATCTCAGAAAAGCCCCTCTGACACCCACATCTCAAAGTTCTGCCTCCAGCTTTTGCTCTTGTTCCCTTTCATCACAAGGTCATCCCCTCGCAAGGCCTCCACCCTGGTCTGGGCATCTCTGAGTCATGAGCACAAGGCTCTCCATTCCTCTGGTGTGTGTTCCCTCCCTGATTTTCACAAGGCCCCAGCTGTCCTGGGAAAGTAGAAACTAGGACTCAAGCTCCTGGGAAACTGGAACCGTTCTGTCCCAGCACCCACATCATCCATCCAGCTCCTTTCTCCGCCTGTCCCCATTGCCAGTAGCTCCAGCAGAGGAGCACAGTCAGAGATGTCACTGAAACACCTGCTCTCAAGGAACTCGGAATGGAACGCTGCTCTGAGGCCTGAAGACTTATCTTCTCTCGTCCACTCCTGATCCTCAACTCCCTAGACTCCCCAGAGCCCAGGACCACACACAGGCCCCATCTGGAGCCTTCTGACCCAGGCTAGAGCCAGTTGCTGAACAAGCAGTTCAGGGCGTCATCTCCCCCATGCCATGTCAGCCTCAGCCTTGTCTCAAGTAGAGGAGGAGGGAACATTACCAGTGCTATACAAAGAGCTGCCCCTTAGGCTACAGGGGCTTGGAGCCCCCACCTAGAGGGGATTGGGGAGAAAAATGAGAAGACCCAAACCTGTAGTCAATACCTCCAAAGAGTTTCCAGAGATCAACCACTGGACTTGTCCCCCAGGCCAGGGCAAGTAGTCAGGTTATCAGCAGCTGGCATCACATGTCCCACCAGCCCACAGATGTCAGTTACAAAACCTCCCAGTCCCATGGGGCCTTTCCTAGCTTTCCTTAGCTCCTGGAGGAGGCACCATGCCTAGGAACACCTTCAGTGATCTTCCAAGTCCCATTTCTGACTCCCAGGACCTCCCAAGTCTTCTCATTGGAGCAAGGGGAACCTTGAAGCAAAAATAGGAGCACTCACCCGTCCTATGTACTACTGAATTACTCCCCTGAAAGCACTCAAACTCCCATAAAGCAGGCCACAAGGTATGGTTTAGAGAAACAGACTAGGGAAACTGCTTCTTGCTCTCTCCTTCATCATTCTGGAAAGGTGACAAGTGTGGGAGCATCTTGCAAGTTCCTAAATGACTTCTACCCAGCCGCCCAATCACAAGCTAGAACCCAAGAATTCCTGCTTCCCAGACTGAGTTCAGAGATGATATAGAAGACATGTGGGCCCCACTACATGTATTATTTATCCTCATATATAGCCTAGGACCGTGGTCGGCAAACTGTGGCTCGCGAGCCACTTGCGGCTCTTTGGCCCCTTGAGTGTGGCTCTTCCTAAGCCTTAGGAGTACCCTAATTAAGTTAATAACAATGTACCTACCTATATAGTTTAAGCTTAAAAAATTTGGCTCTCAAAAGAAATTTCAGTCGTTGTACTGTTGATATTTGGCTCTGTTGACTAATGAGTTTGCCGACCACTGGCCTAGGAGATAATTACTAGCAAGGGGGTAAATATCAAATTTGGATATAAGTATGGCTGATTCAAAGATCAAATTCAAACACAAAAAACTTCCTCACTCCATTACACAAACTACCTCCCCAGATGGGAAAAGTGGTTAACTCACCTGGATTTAGGTTCACTTCTGCCAACACAGGGTAGAGCAAGTGATTCCCAAACCTGGCCTCACTTTCAGAGATTCTGACTTATTTGGTTTGGGCTGGCCTTTGTGTTTTTTTTTATTATTCATTTATTTATTTATTTATTTATTTATTTATTTTTTATTGCTGAAAGTATTACAAAGGGTATTACATATGTGTCCATTTTATCCCCCCGCCCTAGACAGTCCCCTAGCCTCCCCTATCCCCAAATGTCTTATGTCCACTGGTTATGCTTATATGCATGCATACAAGTCCTTTAGTTGATCTCTTACCCCCCTACCTCCTGCCCCCCAACCCTCCCCGGCCTTCCTGCTGCAGTTTGACAATCTGTTTGAGGCAGCTCTGCCTCTGTATCTATTATTGTTCAAAAGTTTATAATGGTCTCTATTATCCATGAATGAGTGAGATCATGTGGTATTTTTCCTTCATTGACTGGCTTATTTCACTTAGCATAATGCTCTCCAGTTCCATCCATGACGTTGCAAATGGTAAGAGTTCCTTCCTTTTTAGAGCAGCATAGTATTCCATCGTGTAGATGTACCACAGTTTTCTAATCCATTCTGGGCTGGCCTTTGTATCTACCTATCTACATTGTGTGTGTGTGTGTGTGTGTGCATCTGTAGTTAGGAACCAAGGTATGGGGACCACAGAATCATCTGGTACAAAATATTCAGAAGCTAGGGGTCCAGAAAATCCAGGGCTCAGCTATGGGCTCTACCATGTACTTGTGGTGTGACCCTTACTCTTCATGGATTTCTCACTACAAAAACCGGAATATCTGCTCCATCAATCCCTTCTAACATGGGATACTGGCAGGCACAAAGGATATAGACATACTTGAGCAAGTGGGAATGACAAGCAAAAGATGAGTTTGAGGGATTTTCATTTTACTTGCCAAAATTTACATTCTCAAATAAAAATGGTTTGGCTAGTTTGCAAGGAAAGTAGAGGCATATTAAAATACTCAAAAACTCTCACTAATACCCAGTATTTTAGCAGTTAGCCATGCCTATTCAGCCCCACCAATATGAAAAGGTTTTCTTTATTAGAAATCTCTTTATTGAAGGTATTTGGGACCACCGAATACAGGTTAGCAATGTAGTTTGAATAGCCTGTAAAAAAACCATCTCATTATAAAGACTACTTAACTGGGGATCTGAAAACTTGCGTTTTAACTCATTCTCCTAAACTGTGTGACCGTGGCCAATCACTTCCTTTCCAGGTTTGCTTCCTTATCTGTAAAGAGAACTAGATTAAATCAGGAATTCAAAGATGCAGCTTTATGAAGCCCCTCGGTGGTCTTCGTGAACCACTTGGGCTTATTTTCAAAATTCTCCTTGAGTTTGTGTGTGTGAACATTTTTTTGATGAGGGGACTAAAATTTCATCTGATTCATAACTTATGACTAAATAAGAACTACTTGGCTACCAGGACTTCAGCTCTCATATTCTATTCACTACTCCACAACAACTCTGGAAGCAAAATTTAGATCCTGAGGTATATATACCAGTAAATCATTTAATCTGGAGCCCTAGGGCAAGATCATGACCCTGCTTTCTCCCATGATCCGGTTTTATTTTTGTGATGCTCTGAAGTGCTTTGCTTCTAGTGAGCAGTTTAGATCAAAGCATCCCAAGGGCCTATGATCTGACCTCCTAGAGCTGTGAATCACTCCCAACTCGAGTCACAAAGCCTTGAGACCAAACTGGATGCACTGGGACCCTAAAGGCCAATGCCAAGAGGGCCTCGGATCCTGCCACAACCCCACCTACTCCCACTTGGTAAGTTCCTCCCCGCTCCCCCTATACATCTTCCCCCTGGTCTGAAGTTCCTCCCTTGGGGATTCACTGCTTTGGTTTTGCCAAGCCTGAACACCGTGCAACCCAACTCCTTCGGGAAGAGGCATGACATTCTGATCCTAATTAACTAAAACTAGGAATGGCAGGAGGGCAGGGAAGTGACTGGAAGGTGAAGTGAGAAGGCTCCTGAGCTTTGCTCAGGGCATGAGCAGGACAGACTGGGAACCAACTTCAAGGGCACAGGAGTCCAAAGGGTTGTTTACACGCTGTGCCCTGCACCTCAAACAAGACCTCTTCCGGGGAACAGAACCGGACCACGGCTCAAATTCCACCCGAAGGGAAGGGTGTGGAGGGGGCGCCCTATACCACCCCTCGTCCCAATTCCGCGTCCGCCGTGGCTCCGCGGTCAGGCCTGGCAGCCCCCGGCCCCCGGGGGCCCTCGCTCTCCCGGCCACTGGCCCGCCCGGGGCCAGCGCCACTCGGCCCGGCTTCTCCGCCGGCCGAGGCAAACCCGAGCTCAGGGCTCTCTTTACCAAGACAAGGTCTTCAGGCCTTCTCTGCCGCGCGAGGTCGCGCTGCATGCCCACGCTCCTCTGCCCCGGCCGGTGGCCAGTCTCCTCCAAGCATTCCCTCCCGAGCCCTCCTTTAGCAAGATGGTGGCGAGTGCACTTCCGGCGAGTGTCCTCCAGGGCGCGTCCGGGCGGCTGCTGCAGGTGCCGCCCAGCGGGTTCCACCCTCTTTGCTGCTTAGATGTTAACGGTGATGGCGGGCGGACTGTTTGGCTGGAGCCGAGCGGCTCTTCTCCAGCTCCTTCTTGGCGTGAACCTGATGGTGATGCCTCCCATCCAGGCCCGGACTCTGCGCTTCGTTACCTTGGTAATGAGAGACGGGGTCGCCCAAGGGTCGCCAGAGCTCGAAGGGCACGGACTCGCTGGTGGAGGGAGGGGCGGGGTTTGTGGTGGGGGTGTGGGGGGCAGGAGGAGGAGCTGGATTAGGAGACTACTGGCCTGCGGTTTGGGGGGCTCAGGGTTGGGGGCCGGGTTCGGAGGTGATGTGGAGCCACGGCGGGTGGGGGTGGGTGAGCTGCAAGGAGTTCTATATCAGGGGATAGGTCGGTGAATCTGCCCTGAGAAGGATGGAAATGGGTAAGAGACCCATCCCCCTACAGAAATCTTTGGTGATCTTTCCAGTCCTCCCACCCTCTGCCTTGCTTTTATTTCTCTTTTCCTTTCCCATCTGTACCTTTGGCTTTGCCTATGACCTCCGTGGTCATTGCTTAGCCATGTTAGACCCTCTGGAAGCTGGAAGAAGTTACTGACTTTTGAATTGGGGTCTTTTGCAAAGGGTAGAGTTAAGGCTTCCCAGAGGGATTGAGACTTCCCTCTCCATCATGGGGCAGAGGTGGGCTCTGGGTCCCCATCAGGGAGACCCTTGTGACCCCTGGGCAAACCATTTTCTTTTGTCAGCTGTACCGACATGGAGACCGGACACCAGTGAAGACATTTCCCAGGGACCCCTATCAGGAAGATGAATGGCCTCAAGGGTTTGGTCAGCTCACTAAGGTGGGTCAGAAGCCAGTCCTTCCTCAGTATGAGCTGCACAATGAGTGACCTCTACAGCAGGCTACAGAACTAGGGCCCAACAAACTGCCATGTCCATTGTGGGTGCTGACTTTGACTAGATTTCTTGCCAAAGACAATGCCACACACAACTGGCTACTTAATAAATAACTTCTGGGATCCCATTAACACACTCCTACTTCCAGCCAGGGATAAACTGAAAAGCAAAAGTGCTTAAACCCTGTGGGATTTGTAAACCATCCCTAATCCTTGGGTTTGCCCATAGGAGGGGATGCTGCAGCACTGGGAGCTGGGCCAGGCCCTGCGGCAGCGCTACCGTGGCTTTCTCAACACTTCTTACCACCCACAAGAGGTAAGGCTGGGAGCTCAAGATGCAAGGAGAATGGGATCTGCTGTCCTCACCCTCTGTCCTCAGGGAGCCTAAGGGTGAAGCTGGGCACTGCCCGCCCCCCCCCCCCCATGCATTTTTGGTTACAACTACAGGACAAGACATCCAAGGGCTGTCTAGAACAAAACTCTTTTTCTTTTTTTTTTTTTTTTTTAATTATTTTTTTTTTTTTTTTTAATATATTTTATTGATTTTTTACAGAGAGGAAGGGAGAGAGATAGACAGTCAGAAACATCGATGAGAGAGAAACATCGATCAGCTGCCTCCTGCACATCTCCCACTGGGGATGTGCCCGCAACCCAGGTACATGCCCTTGACCGGAATCGAACCTGGGACCTTTCAGTCCGCAGGCCGACGCTCTATCCACTGAGCCAAACCGGTTTCGGCTAGAACAAAACTCTAGAGCAGCGGTTCTCAACCTGTGGGTCGCAACCCCTTTGGGGGTCGAACGACCCTTTCACAGGGGTCGCCTAAGACCATCGGAAAACACATATATAATTACATATTGTTTTTGTGATTAATCACTATGCTTTAATTACGTTCAATTTGTAACAATGAAAATACATCCTCATATCAGATATTTACATTACGATTCATAACAGTAGCAAAATTACAGTTATGAAGTAGCAACGAAAATAATTTTATGGTTGGGGGTCACCACAACATGAGGAACTGTATTTAAGGGTCGCGGCATTAGGAAGGTTGAGAACCACTGCCCTAGAGACTGAGTTGCCCCTGCTTGGGTGGGAAGAGGCAACATTTATCAAGCATCCAAGTTCAGACTGAAGGAAGGGTCTGGCAGAGTAGTGTCTGGCTCTGTGAAATAACTCAGGTTTTCCATTCAAGACACATATTGAGTACCTACAATGGGCTAGCATTTTGCACATAATGGTATACTACACACATATGATCTTTGTCTTTGTGGAACTTAGAATGGAAGATTGGCAAGTTTTTTGGCTCCTTGAGCCCCCCACCCCCACCCCCCACCCCCCCAGCCAAGGAGGAGGATAGCTGTTCCTTTGGTTACTACTCTCAGCCACAGCTCTCTCAAGTCCCTAGATGTTATTGTTCCCTTGAGGGCCAGCTCTGTCTTGATCTTGCCTACCCCCACAGCTTTCTCCTTTTCCCACAAGCAATTATCTGTTCCTTGTCTTATTTCCTCTCCCTGGCCTCCAAGCCAGTTTATAAAAGGGGCTTTGAATAGAGATAGTTTCCACCCTCAAGGATCCTGGCCTAAATAGGGAGACAAGATAAAACTAGACAGACAGACAAACCAGACAGCCTTACTGACTAAGCACTTTGGACTGGGAGGGGCATCTGAACTAGAGTCATTCCCATAGGAGCCATTCTCAGAGTAGGGGTAGCTAGCCCCCAGCTGAGTGTTTGGACCTTTGCTGGGAGAAGAATGGGGAAGGCCAGAGAGGGTGCAAGGGCCAGATGCATGGTGGGATTACAGTCTGTTCAGTAACCATCAAGAACAGGTTCTCCCCTTAGGACCCCACTGAGGAGCCAAAGCTCCTCACCCCACCCCCACAAGAAGAGACTCATGTTGTCATCTCTGCAGGTTTATGTGCGAAGCACTGACTTTGACCGTACTCTCATGAGTGCTGAGGCCAACCTGGCTGGACTTTTCCCTCCCATTGGGATGCAGCGTTTCAATCCAAACATCTCTTGGCAGCCTATTCCCGTCCACACTGTGCCCATTGCTGAGGACAGGGTAAGACTGGCCAGCCCTTCACTGCAGGCCGTGAGAGGGGCAGCTCTGGCCATGGGCCTGCTGACCACTGATTCCCTCTCTGCCTCTGCTTCTCCCTTTTGGTCTGCAGCTGCTGAAGTTCCCATTGGGCCCATGTCCCCGTTACGAGCAGCTGCAGAACGAGACCCGGCAGACACCAGAGTATCAGAATGAGAGTATTCAGAATGCAGTGAGTGGGGCTGAGGTGGAGGTCATCACACTGTCCTTTATCCCAGGGCGGGATTGACCCCCTGATCCATTTCTCATAGCGATTTCTGGATATGGTGGCCAACGAGACAGGACTTACGGACTTGACACTGGAGACCATCTGGAATGTCTATGACACACTCTTCTGTGAGGTGAGCCTGCTTAGGGTCCCCAGTGTGACCCTTTCCTCTTACACTCAGCAGGCTCAGGTGACCAGAACACGGAGAGCACAATGCCTGACTACCATTCCCACCGGGGAGGTCCAGCCCAGCCGCCTGCTTCTTGTGAAACAAGGGAACTTCCCTCAAGGGTGAAAAAGAACCCCAGAGTGGGAAATAGCTTATTAATTGTCAGCAGTTCCTGCCCTTCTCCACCCAGAGCGCTGGTGGTATCTGACTCCATTCTGCTGAGTCACGTTCTTTTGTGCCTGAGCCTCCTTCCCTGTGCCCTGCAGCCTCAACACTGTCCGCTATGTCCCTGGTTCCAGTCCCTCTGCCTCACCTCTCCTCTCCTCTCCCTCCCCTCTCACACACACACAGGCACCTTCTCACTGGGGAAGAGAGAGGCCCCGGGAGAGGCTCTGGCCTAGGCCGGGGAGCTAACCTGCCCGCTGCCATACGCAGAAAACACATGGGCTGGTCCTGCCGCCCTGGGCCTCGCCCCAAACCATGCAGCGTCTGAGCCGGCTGAAGGACTTCAGCTTCCGCTTCCTCTTCGGGATCTACGAGCAGGCAGAGAAGGCCCGGCTTCAGGGGGGTGAGTGACAAAAGCAGCATGTCACTCCCTTCCTCAGGACCCTACAGTATTAAAAACCAGCTCTTGGGGGCTTCTCACACACTTCTCCACCCGAAATGTTCTCTGCTCTTTCAAAACCCCTCGGATCCCCCTCGTCGTCCCGTTCGTCACCAAAGTCTCCCTAATTCGCCAAATGCTTCGCCCATCTGCACTGGACCAATGACCACATCAGGCCCACATGCTTCTTTTCTGCCATTCATATTCTTACGTTTCACTCATGTCAGAAGGCCCTTCCCACTTAAAGGAATTCCCACCTCCAGAGAGCCATGGGGGCCACTCTGACAGGAGGCCGAGAGGAACGCCAAGGAGCACCCAAGGGAGAGCTGTCGTCAAGCCTTTCTGGCATCTCAGGGTTTTCCAAGCCTGCATATGGCAGAGTTCCCTGAGCCTGGGGCCACTGCCATGGGTGTCCTGAAGCAGTCTTAAGTTTATATTTGTTCTGACGTGGAGGACATCTTCAAACATGGGCAGGGCCTGATAGCTTCTGTTTATCTTGCTTCCCTCTGTGCACTTGAAAGGAAAGTTGCCAGAGAGCAGGGCGTTCCTCTGTGGTTCACAAACACCTAAAGAGTTCTCTGTGTCAGTGATCAGACCCAAGAGTAGCAGAGGGTGACAGGACCACAGATAGAACTGATCGGAAGAAGTGATGGCTGTAGCCACTGACATGGGGATTTTTCTCCTTCAGGAGTCCTGCTGGCTCAGATACGGAAGAACCTGACACTGATGGCAACCTCCTCCTCCCACCTCCCAAAGCTGCTGGTTTACTCCGCGGTGAGCCCCCTTAGTCCCCAGCATGCTAATGTCAAACAAGGAGCTGGATTTCTTCTCTATTCGGTGCTGGGGAGGGGGGTGCAGGGGAGCATGCTAATCGGGAGCCCTTCTCCCTTACAGCATGATACCACCCTGGTTGCTCTGCAAATGGCATTGTATGTCTACAATGGTGAACAAGCCCCCTACGCCTCCTGCCATATATTTGAACTGTACCAGGAAGACAATGGGTGAGTGGAGCTACTAGTCTGCCCTCTGGAAGGGCACTCGCATGGTGGCTATGGGCACCCTAAGGACTCCATAACAGGCCTGATGGGCAGCTTCCACCTTGTCTCCCATCATCCCTCAGGAATTTCTCAGTGGAGATGTACTTTCGGAATGAGAGTAACAAGGCCCCCTGGCCACTGAGCCTGCCTGGCTGCCCTCACCGCTGCCCACTGCAGGACTTCCTGCGTCTCACAGAGCCTGTTGTGCCCAAGGACTGGCAGCAGGAGTGCCAGCTGGCAAGTGGTCCTGCAGACACAGGTGAGCTGCTGCCTGCCTCTGTGCTAGGCATGTCCCAGAACAACTTGCAGTTCATATCCACAAGTCTCGAGAGAGCGCTCACGCTTCCAGCCATCTCATTGCATTTCCCTAGACAGTTTACTACCCACCCTGAGACCGTTTCACCTATTGCCGAACACGCTCAGGGGATGCCCTCACTTCTTGTAGCACTGAGAAAATAAAAGCCATGAGGAGAGAATCGTTCCATTTTCCCACCACCACGTCTTCCAGCTACTCACTGGTGCAAGCTGCTACTTAAGGCCCTGCCTCTCCAATTATACTCTGGGCTCATCTGTTCTCCACAAGGACCTCTGATGTTTCCTCTCTGCTGGATCAGTCCCATCTCAAAAGCCTAGTTAATAAAAACCTCTCAGACCCCCATCTTTCTCTGTTCCCTGTTAGAGCGCAATCCTTCAGAGTTGCCTAGACTCTGCTTTCGCTTCCTCACTGTCCATTCTCTCAGGCGCCCACTGGACAGTCTGGTGTCTCCTTTCACTCCATTAACTTTTGTTAAAGGCCCAGTGACCTCTTACCAAAACCAGTGACCAGTTCTTAGTCAGCTTCTCTTGCCTCTCGGCAGCATTCTATAACTGGCCACTCCTTCCTTAAACACTTCCTTGGCTTCTCTGCTTTTTCTCCTAATTTATAGGCACCTTCCTTACTGGCTCTTTCTTGGCCCTTTTCTCATCTCTGCCCACTCCCAAGGTGATCTCATCCAACCTCACGGTCAGAAGTACCAATGCTAAGTTCTGTCTTTTTGTGATCTGCAGATTCATAGCCTCTTCTCTGAGCTAGGCTGACATATCCAGCCAGCTGCAGACTTGAGGTCTCTACATGGATGTGGCATCTCAAAGTCGATATCTGAAACCAAATGCTCTTCCTCCCCCCAAAATTTGTTCTCCCCCCAGGCTTCCCCATCTAAGTAAATGCCACACCAGTTACCTAGTCACACAGTATAATCATAGGATTTATCTTGAATACTCTTTCTTAGACGCCACAACCAATCCACTAGGAGATTCTAGCATGCCAACCTTTAAAATACATGTTCTTACTTTTAATAGTATTAACTCACTGTCTGACTTCTCTTTGTTCATTGCATTTACTTCTAAAGTGCAGCCTGTAAGGTCCACTTGAATTTGGCTCTGGCTCTCTGTAGCAGACGGTCAGCAATTCTCCACCCAGTCAGACCTAGCACTCTTGTGTCTGTAGAGCTGTCTTTTGGATCTGAAGGTTTTCACATTATGGGGGAAGGCAGCATGACTCCATGGCTAGAAATCTGGGTAGCATAACTTTGTGGCTAAGTGCACAGATGTTGTCAGATCTTGTTTTGACTCCTGCCTGCCTTTTTATCATCAGACTTTTGGCAGATTGTTCAACCTCTTTCAGAACTTTCATTTCATCAATTACAATAAAAAGTCTACCTTGAACAAAATACACACAAAACATGCTCTTGCTCCCTAGTCCAATCTACCATCATCTCTTGCCTGAACTGATGGCTTCTTAACATTCTGAGTCTCTTCTTGTCCCTACCAGTCTCTCAGCGCAGCAGAGTTAAATTTCTTAAAAAAGTAAGTTAGGCCCTAGTTGGTTTGGCTCAGTGGATAGCGCGTCAGACTGTAGATTAAAGGGTCCCGGGTTCAATTCCTGTCAAGGGCACATGCCCGAGTTGTGGGCTCGATCCCCAGTAGGGGGTGTGCAGGAAGCAGCTAGTCAATGATGCTCTCTCATCATTGATGTTTCTAGCTCTTACTCTCCCTTCCTCTCTGAAATCAATAAAAATATATTATAAAAAAAAAAAAAAGAGTTAAGTTGGGCCATAGCTGGTTTGGCTCAGTGGATAGAGCATTGGCCCTCAGGCTAAAAGGTCCTGGGTTCAATTCCAGTCAAGGGCACTTTTGTCTCTCTCACATCAATGTTTCTTTCTTTTCCACTTTCTCTAAAAAACAATGGGAAAATATCCTTGGGTGAGGATTAATAACAACAAAAAAGTCAGTCAGTTCACATTGCTACCCTTCTCAGATTCTTCCAGTGGGTTCCCATCACATTTGGAATAAAATCCAAGTTCTTTACCACTTGGCCTGGCCCTCCACTCTCATCTCCTACCTGCCCCCCACTTACTCTGCTCTGGTGATACTTTCTTGAAGATCTAGAACATGCCAAGCTAGTTGCACATCAGGGCCTTTTGTGCTTGCTTACTGTCTACTCTCCGCCCCTAGCAAGGACTCTCTCCTCTCAGATCTCGTATGTCTCAAGGGCTCCAGGTCTCTGTTCAGATTATCCTCGGGGATACCTGTCCTGACTGACCTCTCCATCCTTTCCCCCTTACCTTGCTTTGCTTTATGGCATTTGTCACTAACTGTGGATATCCCCACTGTGAGAACAGTTCCTGGCATATGGTAGGCCATCAAATATTTGTTGAATGAACACTGACATGTCCTTTCTCTCCCTGTCCCCGTGCCCAGAGGTGATCGTGGCCTTGGCTGTATGTGGCTCCATCCTTTTTCTTCTCATAGTGCTGCTACTCACCGTCCTCTTCCGGATGCAGGCGCAGCCTCCCGGCTACCGCCACGTTGCAGACGTGGAGGATCACGCCTGACAACCACTCAGCCCCCTTCCCTCTGCCTCTTAGGGGAGGTGGGCTTGGCCCTCACTCCTGACTGTTGCTGCTCCCAAGCCCATGGGCAGGAGACCCTGGGTTGGGCCTTCCTCTGATTACCCCAACCTAGACGAACAAGTGGGACTCGGCTTGGCCCATGGCACCTGCCACTCAATATTCACGTGCCCGATGTTTCCCAAGTACTGTGCTGGATGTTGGCTCTCTCCAAATAGGATCTGCCTCCTCCATGCTCCCGAAGGACCTGATATGTAGACAACGTTTAAAGTTTCACTCAGGACCTGGGATAAAAAAAGGAGTTGGTGCTTCATCTGCCTTGCCCCCCAGTCAAGACCTGGTCTCTTTTCCAGCCCGGAGTCTTTGGCAAATGGCTCAGAAGACACAATTTTGCCTGTCAGTGCTTATTTTACTGGGAAAAACTGCATAACATTGGGACACGAACACTGGCCACCAAGGAACCAAATCACCCAACAGCCAGCCGGTCAAGTTTCCCTTCTCCAGCTGAAGCTACCATGAGTCAGACATACTGCCTCAGGCATCCTGCTTAGCCTGTAGCTTGAGTAGGTCCGAAAGGTGTCTGTACTTGGGAGGGAGTCGAGGGAGGTGGGAGGAGAGTGAGGGGTGGTACAGTCATGAAACTACTACCCCCCTCTGCTGGGCTCAGGTCTCCAGGGATATGAAGTAAACGCAGGTTGTAAGCTGGACAGCTGTTGACTATGGCCCACAATAGGGCTGAGGTAGCTTGAGAAAAAGGAAAATTTTGGACTCTTAGTGCTGTTTCTGTGCCTGTTCTTCGTACTGGAGACCCAGGAGTGCTTTGACCAGGTCAGCGTTGGAAGAGTCACTCAGAAGCTCATTGGGTATATATAGTTTTATTGGCCATGTCAATAGTGAGCACAAATACAAAACCACCACCTGATCACTCTGCCACCACACGTCAGGGAGGAGAAAAGCCCCTTGGCTCCAGAAGGAGCTTGGTTCCAAGCTCGATATAGCAGGGAGCCTGGAGGAGCTGTGTCGCCAACTCTGGGTAAGTTTCGGAGCAAAGTCCAGAGCAATAACATAGCCAGTGTCCCAGCCTTACAGTATCCCATGGCACAGCATCCTCGCTCCAGCCCTAAGACTTGGATACCTTGGTCCTTTAACACATAGCTGCCTCTTCTCACAGGACTTGTTCTCATGTGGCTCCAAGTCCTTGCTTGGCCCACACCTTCATTATTGTCTCTCATTTCCATATCCCAGCTTTCTCCTGGCTCCAAATGAGAACGTGATAACCTAGGATGAATAACACCGGTCTGACTCACCTTCTGTTATCTGTCTCTCAGAGCTTGGGGCTGGCCCAGGGAGCCTAGAACTTGGTAAGGAAATACTAGGGAATTGGACAACAGCCAGGCATTACCAAGACCAAGACCAAGACCAAACAAGGGTGGAGGGCCTAGGCCAAATAGACCACTGTCCCCTGGTTATCTTCTTCACTGACTGCTACCTTAGGTGAATGTGGCAGGGCTAAGCTGAGGTTAGCTTGCACTGAACCTTGGGAGGTAGGGTCAGGCTTCAGATAACAACCTACTTCACTCACCCATCAGAGAGGCCAGTGTGTCCCCCATAGGATTGAACTCATTGAGCTGCAGAGACAAGGGGATAAGCATGAGGAGGGGGTGAAGGTATTACTTCTGGTCATTTTTGGTCAATAAGGTAGGTTGAATCCCTGCTTCCTCCCATCATTATTTGAGGGCCCAAGCCTCACCGAAATGATACCAGAAGATTCTGAGTCATAGAGCTGATGCATCAACTTCCCTGAGCTTCCATCAAACATATCGATTGTCCTTAATTCATGGGGGAAACAACTTTTGAAATTAGGATCTGGGTATCTGCCCACAACAATGAGGTTGTACCGTGGATGCCAGGATGCCTAGGAGATGGAAAGGCTGGTCATGAGAGTAAATGCAGAATACTATCAAGAGGGTTCATAAGTATTCTTTGCCATTAACAATTGTTAATACAGTTGTCAACGATTTAATAACGGAGATAAGATCTATATAAAACTACAAGAATAGTTTTCAATTGCGTATACATCTACCAATGTCAATTTTAAACTCCAAGCTGGCCCCCCTGGCCCTTAGGACACCTTCAGGCCTTCTCTCTTGCATTTGCTGAGATCATACCAACTGACAAATGTTTTAACATCAGCCTGATGCAGACATTAACCAAAGAGTAAGCCTACAACAAAGGAACAAGCTTCTGGTAACCAAAACCAAATTGGACATATGTTCTGAAGTAACCCCACTACTATCTCCTCTATCAACTTCAATGACAAAGAGTTGAGTAGAAAATGCTAGTGTCTGAAAAGAGGAGGAAACCTTTGCTCCCCAGATTACCCCTCTCAAAACAAATCTGACAGTGATTGGAATGACAGATTGGATGGGATTTTCCTAAGAAACTTTTCACAGAAGTTTTGATGGAGGAAAGACATGATAAGCAGGAAGGAAGAAGGGGTACATGCAAAGACTTAGAAATAAGTCACAAACCGGTCACACCTGGCAAGCTGTAGTGGGCTTCACTGGATACAAAGTGAAGATGCCAATGGGAACACAAACGGGTGAAGGATCTGATGCCATTAGAACTTGGATTTGATTTGAGGTGCGTGGGGGCCACTCTAATACTAAATCATCCTTGTGTACTACTGAGTAGGCATGGCACCATGTGCTCGAAGTGCACTGACTCAGCTTCACAGCAACCCCGTCAGTTAGAAACCAGTATTCCCTTTATAGACAAGGAAACTGGAACCTAAAGTTGAAGTAATTTTCCCAAGATCCTAACCCAGAGGGGTCTGCCTGCCAGAAGCTGGTGCCCCTCACCATTGACCAAAGTACAGGCATGAAACCTGGAGATCTGCAGAGAAACTGCGTAGGGGCTTGGGCAGGAAGGAATTACAGGACGTGAAGACTGTAAGCCATGGGTGCTGAGGCCAGAGAAGCCGCTAACGAAAGGCTAAGGATAGCTTGTAGATCAACCGTACACACGGAACACACTGAAGGCAGAACAGAAGGCCAGGATTTTAGAAAATGCCATCTGAGGAGATCAGGGCTGGGTTGAAAAAACTTTGGAAAATAGCTTATCAGAGAGACAAAAGAAAACCCAGCACAATGGGATTGCAGAAGTGGGACAAACGGAGCAGGGAGAGCCAGGGGATGAGACTACTTTGTGTAGGGCAGGAAGAGATCTGGGAGGAAAGGCTTCTGTAATCTGTCCTCCCCCCTACTCCCCCCCTTGGGCAGACCCGATCTGTCTCCGTGATCACAGTGCTTTACTCCCTCACTTACCTTGATGGGTGTCAGGTGCTGGAAGTGGCGGTGAGGATGTGGGATCAGGCTTGGGGGGCTGTCCCACTGGGAGGCAGAGTAAACCCGGATCTCACTCTTCTGGTCGGTGGTCAGGAGCTGGGCTCCATCAGGACTGAAATGAGCTGGCAAGTGACAAGTCCCTGAGCTGAAGGGCCTTCTCTTGCAGGGACCCCTCCCTCCCACTCCCTGACAGACAGGGCTGGAAGGGAGGAGGTGCATCTGGGCTCTGAACAAAAACATTCTAGAACTCAGCAGCTGACGAGGGCAGCTGAAGTCAGAAAGGTTCACCCTAGCGGCTTCTAAACTTTGAGGGCAAACCCCAGGAGCGGTGGGGTAGGTAGGGCCTAAGGAGGGATGAGTATATCACACCTGCGTTGACAGGATGACTGTGTGGCAGTGAGTAGAGGAAGCTGGATTTCCCTTTAACCTGGCGCAGGTCCCAGATTTTCACTGTTTGATCTACAGAGGCTGTGGCCAGGAACCAATCACAGCGTGGGTTCAGGGCCGTATGGGTCACTTTCTTTTTGTGCAATCTCAGGTTCCACAGCTGCAGAGAAAAGCGGTTCAGGTGGGGGCAGAGGCAAGGGAGGGGCAGGGAGGACCGGGCTCTGAGAACGCACCTCCCTGCCGTCCATGTTCAGCAGGATCACGTTCCCCACATTGTCTCCTGTGACCACCACTCGGCTTTTCTCGGACACATCCAGGCTGCAAAACCAGAAGCTGGAGGGAGAGACCTTGCTGTAAGGTTCTTGGGGACAGAGGCAAGGTCCATTTATTTATATTTTTTAAAAAAATTTTTTTATTGATTTCAGAGAGGAAGGGGGAGGGAGAGGGAGATAGAAGCATCAATCATGAGAATCACTGATTGGTGAGTCTGCAACCCAGCCACGTGCCCTGACTGGGAATCAAACCCGTGACCTTCTGGTTCATAGGTCGACGCTCAACCACTGAGCCATGCCATCCAGGTGCAAGGTCCATTTATTCATGGTGTAGCTCCAGCGTCTAACACATAGAGATATTCAATAAATATTTGTTCAGTGAATGAGTATTATCTTGCCATGGACTTCCAGTGAGGAACAGACTTGTCTACCATCCAGACAGAGGTTATGGAGTTGATGGGGCTCAGAAATCGTCTGATGTGCCCAGGGTCCTCAGCTAGTATGAGTCCCTGAAGCAGCCAACCTCAGAGCTATATGACAAGCCCCTGGGTTAGCTTGCCCTGCACAGCCCTGGGTTCTGCGAGACTCCTTAATGACTCTCTCCCTTTACCCTCCACCTGTTGAGTCAAAGGAGGTGACAAACCAAACAGGCTGCCTGGCTCTGTTCCTCAGAGCTGGCTAGAAGGGAACTTCTGCCCCCTTCTGAGCATTCAGGGAGAAAAGCACACACAACCCAGAAGTTGTCTGGCTCTTGTCCCTCAGACTCGAGGAAGGGGATGGGGAGGGGGCTGCTTCAGGGATCCCGAGAGCCAGGAGAGCTCAGATTCTTGTCTTTTCTCTCAAACCCTCAAATCCCTGCTCTACCGCCTTTTGCATTCCCTGTAAATCTCTTCCAGAGGAAGAGTTTCTTGTGGAAGAGAAACCTAGAGCTGTTCTAACCTGTCCCCTGTCCTGATAACTCGTGGACTTCTTACCCCTGTGGGGCGGTCCAGGATAACATCCAGTGCTAGTTAGATCCCCCCCCCCCCCCCCCGGTTCTTTAGGGAGCAGGATCATGCCTCTGGCCAGGAATCAAAGTGACAAGCTTCTGTAGTTTCTACAACCACTTACTCTTGCAGAGTCCAAAGTGCTTTATGGACATGATTCTATCCATTTAAGCTTCATGGAACTGGTCAGGTCATCACACCCCAGTGGATGTAGGGAATAAAATTTAAGTTCTTATTTCCTGCTCCCGGCTTTAAGTGGCTTATTCTAGGCCAGTGATGGCGAACCTTTTGAGCTCGGCGTGTCAGCATTTTGAAAAACCCTAACTTAACTCTGGTGCCGTGTCACATATAGAAATGTTTTGATATTTGCAACCATAGTAAAACAAAGATTGATATTTTTGATATTTATTTTATATATTTAAATGCCATTTAACAAAGAAAAATCAACCAAAAAAAATGAGTTCGCATGTCATAGGTTCGCCATCACTGTTCTAGGCCAATGCCAGTTTGACTTGTCCAGTGAGAATAAAAGTCTCACCTGATACAGGAATGACTTACAGACTAGCTGAAGCCCTTCCCTTGCGGAGAAGAGTGAGGCTCCAGAACTCCCCCAATTAGTACCCCACCTGGACCAGAGGAAGCAGCTAAAGAAAGGGTTTGAGGAAGAGACTGAACGGTGGAGAGTGGCTAACACCTTTTCTTACTTCCCTGTGGTAGAAGAACTGGGACCTGGATGCTCTCACCAGAACCTCACTGAGAGCCTAAAAGCCCTTTCCCCTGTTAGACTACTCACTTGCAGGTGTCATAGCTGGTGTAAACTTGGAGAGTGTTGCCTTTAAAGTCTTGCAGCCTAGTTGTTCCCTCCATGGAGGAGGTGAAAAACTGGTTGGTATTGAGAGGGTTAAACTTCAGCCCAGTGATGCTGCCTCCAGCTCCAATCTAACACAGGAAGAGAAAAGCCAGTGAGTGATGATGGCCCAGGAGGAGGAGGAGGCCTGGTGCACATACTCCACCCTAGAGAAGTGCCAGGCAGGCGGCACTTGGGGCCAGGCCAGTTTACATGCCCAGACCCTGGGATGCTCTCCACAGTGCTCTGTTTCTTGAAGTTTTAGTTTTTGTTGTTTTTAAAATATTTTTTTATTGATTTCAGAGAGGAAGGGAGGAGAGATAGAAACATCAATGATGAAAGAGAATCATTGATCGGCTGCCTCCTGCACACCCCCTACTGGGGATCGAGCCTGCAACCCGGGCACGTGCTCTTGACCGGAATCAAACCCTGGACCCTTCAGTCCACAGGCTGACACTCTATCCACTGAGCCAAATCAGCTAGGGCAAGTTTTCATTTTTTATTTTAAAAATTAACCTACAGTAAATTTGGTTGTTTTGGGTATGCAGTTGCATGAATTTTAACACATGTATAGACTTGAATAACCACTGCCAAAATCAGGATGCAGAACAGTTCCGTTACCCTCCCAACTCCCTCCTGCTCTCCCTTTGTAGAGCTCCCCCTACCTCTAACCCCTGACAAACACTGCTCTGTTCTCTATCACTGGTTTTTGCCTTTGATAGCCTCTCATATAACTGATCATAGAGCATGTAGCCTTTTGAGACTAGCTTCTTTCATTTCATCAGCATGATGCGCCTGAGATTCATCCAAGTTGCTGTGTGTATCTATAGCTGGTTCTCTTATTGCTGAATACTCCATTGTGTGGCTGTACCAGTTTATCACAGTGTTCTTTTTAGAAGAGTTTCTGCCCAGAAGAGTGGCTGGGTTAGGAGGGCAGGAGGCAGATCTGAGCTCCTTCCTATTTTTCCAAACCTTCCAGATAATGATGATGAAAACAATCATATAAACGTTATTAAGTACTTATTATGCATCAGGTACTGTTTTAAGAATTTTACATCCCCAAGAGTCCCTTCTCCACTTCTTCTTTGTGCTACTATTTCAGCCTCATGGACCTCTTACACAACCACCACTCCACTCACTCAACAAGCTAACTGGCACTTTCCATTCCCTCTATAAACATTCTGACGGATGCCCATGGTCTGACAAACCCTTCCTGCTAATAAGATAATCTGC